TAGACACCTCGCTAGACACCCACTCCACCTCCTCCCAATCCCAGCCGGAGCGTGCCGCGTCGCGGGGCCGACCCCCCGCGGCCGACACGTATCTAGGCTATTCCATCTGCCCACCCCCGCCTATTTTCGAGGACCGGATGGATTTCCACATGGATGACACGTCCTATGTGGGAATCCGTTCCGGCACCCCATCCCCCATCCCCCAAGCCCCCCTACACCCACCTCTTCCGCAGAGACCGGAGCAGCGCCGCACGTACGCCGGCGCGGCGGCGCGACCGGCGCCGTCTACGGCGCCTTCCGGCGCCGCGCCGCGCGTGGGAGCGACGCCCGCACCGGTCGAAGATGACAACCAAATGGGTAAATCCTACCCACCCATAGTGGCCGAGTGTCTGCCCAATTGGCAGAACCATTTCTGCCAATTGGAGCGGATACTGGGCCATATTCCTAACGCACGTCCGTACGGCACGGGAATCCGCTTCATTGCTAAAAGCGTGACGGAATTCCGTGCCGTGCAACGTTATTTAACTAATCTAGGTGACAGCGAGCCGGCCCTCAGCTGGTATTGCTACAGCCTGGCGGAGGAGCTGCCGGTGAAGGTGGCCATCAGAGGCCTACCCGCCGACACCCCGCCGGACGCTGTGGCCGCCAGCTTGAGGGCCCTAGGGTTCCAGGTGTCGCTGGTGAGGACCATACCGGCGCGTCGAGGGCGCCCAGGATGCTTGTTTCACGCGCAGTTGACGCGCATGAACAGGGACGACCTCGCCCGGCTCTACAGCACCAAGGTGCTGTTGAGAATGCCGGGCGTAACCATCGAGGCGTGGCGGTCCGCCAACAGGATGACTCAATGCCACCGCTGTCAGGCGTACGGCCACGCTTCCACTAATTGCCATCGTCCCATCAGGTGCGTACGCTGCGCGGGGGAGCACGCCGCGGGCGCCTGCGACCGCCCGAGGGACGCTCCGCCCACGTGCGCCAACTGCGCGAGGGCCCACACGGCCAACGACCGGCGCTGCCCGGTGTATAAAAGGGAGGCGCGCCGCCGAAACATCGCGCCGACTGCGCCGATGCCTCCCGCACCCGTGTTGGCGCCAGGAGAGTGGCAGACCGTCGGCAGGGGGCGCACGAGGGCGCCCCCCACCCATACGACCCGCCATACGGCGCCCGCAGTCGCACACAGTGCGACACAATTGCCCTCCGCCACCCAACCCGCGCCGGTGCGGCACGAGCCGGCCGGGCACGGAGGCGGAGCACCACCAGCGTCGGCGTCGGCAGGGGCGACACTCGCCACACCTGCCAACCCACCGACGGCCCGTGGCGCTCCAGTGGGCACCAAGAAGCGCCGCGGCCGCAGGCGACGCGGACGGCGCGCCGAGTCGACGCCTAACCAAAGCGTCGAAGCGGAACCCATAGAGATAAGAAATAATTTTATTAACCAAATAGTCAGTAGTAATAACCAGGACGTCGGATGTGTGCCCCCCTCGCTCCCCAGCCACGCAAGGCGTCCCCACGGATTCCTTCCGACGCCGGCCGCGAGCACGCCTGAGATGTCAGTTGCAGACCCATTACTTTTAGTATTGGGTTTGCTAACCGATTTCCTAAAGGCGCTCGCGACCGGGTCGGACATTAAGTCGGCCGCGCTCGGCGGATTGGCCTCGTTGGAAAGGCTACACGGGCGCGGTTGAACTTCGTATTGCCTATTGGAATCCCGGGGGAGTCGCCGACAAAGCAGGCGACCTCCGACTCTTCGCCCAGCAGCAGGACTTACATGTCATTCTGCTGGGTAAAACTAAGCTAGCCCCACATATCGATTTCAGTGTGCCTAATTATCACGTGTATAGGCGGGACGAGGTCTCTCCGGCGGGAGTGCGGTACCGTGGTACGGCGGTTCTTGTCCGGAGGGATGTCGTCCACACGGAGATTGGGCACACTGAATATCGTTCCCTGCGTTCCAACGGTGTAGCGTTGAACGCGGGGGGGGTAGAGGTCCGCCTGTTTGCAGGCTATCATCCGCCCGCCGCTCGCTTTTGCTCGAACGATATTCGAGCCATCATGGACAGCGACAAGCCGACCATTCTGGCGGCCGACCTCAACGCGAAACACACCGCGTGGGGGTCGTCCCGCGTAACGAGGGATGGTTTGTGGCTGTTTCATGATGCCGAGAGCGGCGGTTATGAAATCCTAGGCCCCTCCTCACCCACTCATGTCCCAACCAATCCCAGGTACACATCTGACGTCCTGGACATAGTGTTGGCTAAGAATGTCCCCTGTCCCATCAACCTGGAGGTGTTGTACGATTTGAATACGTCTCACCTCCCGGTATTGATCGCGCTTGACGTAGCAGCCACGTTCGTTCCAGCGTCGCGCCCCAGTAGGAGGATAGACTGGACGGCGTTACAACGCGAGGTCGACGGGTACTCCCTCAGCGGCGAGTTCGCCACTCCTGAGGCGATCGAGGACGCCTCCACGGCCATCACGGCCGCCATAGTGGCCGCCAAGGAGGCGGCAACGGTCGCCCATACCCCCTCGGGAGCGGCGGGCGCGTCTCGCCGCCGCGAGAAATTACCCGTCGACCTATACGAAATGCTCGCACAGAAGCGCCGTCTTCGTCGCCTATGGGCGCGCACGCGTTGTCCGCGCGTCAAGCGCGATCTCAACTACTTGGCTGCACAACTGTCGGAAGGGGTGCGGGTGTGGCGTGGGGCCGCCTGGGACAATTTGATCGAACAGGCGACCGATCACGACACCAACCTGCACCGGCTCTGCCGACAGTTGTCAACACGGCCACCACCCGTGTGTCCGTTGCTAGACGCGACGAGCACACGAAGGTACGCAGCCAAGGACAGGGCAGACATTCTAGCCAACCATCTACAGGGGCAATTCCAGCCCCATCCCCTTACCGTTCCCACAGATCCTATTGTCGTCGAGCACCACGAGCGAGTGACACGGCGCGTAGAGGAATTCCTATCGGGCGAGTCCCCGCCGCTCGCAGATGTCGAATTTATTTCACCTGCTGAGCTGCGGAGGACCGTGGAGCGCCTCCCCAGGAGGAAGGCGCCGGGCCCCGATGGAATTTCCAACGCCGAGTTAATGCAGCTGCCGCGAAGGTGCCTGGTGGCGCTCACCAGGCTCTTCAATGGAATCCTCCGCACAGGCCATTTTCCAGAGTCCTGGAAACTGGGTAGAGTGATCGTCCTCCCCAAACCAGGCAAGGATCGCCGTTTGCCAGGAAGCTACCGCCCCATCACGCTACTGGCGCACATAGCCAAACTGTTCGAGAGGTTGCTGCTCCGACGGATGGCCGAACATTTCACTCCTAGGAGCGAACAGTTCGGCTTTCGGTCGGGGCACTCGACCACTCTACAGCTGGCGCGCGTGCTGCACCACCTGGCCGCCGAGCGCAACCACGGTCGAGTGGTGGTCGGTGTCTTCTTAGACATCGAAAAGGCATTCGACCGTGTTTGGCACGACGGCCTAGTATATAAAGTATTACAATATACCAGCACGCCGCCCGCGTATGTGCGACTGGTGGCGTCGTTTCTCAGGGGCCGTAGCTTCTTCGTTTCGGTGGAGGACGCGCGCTCCGACACCCGCCCAGTGGCCGCCGGAATTCCACAAGGTAGCTGCATTTCCCCGGCGCTCTACGCGCTGTACACGAATGACATCCCTGTCCTGGACAGCCAGCCCTTTACACTGGCCCTGGAACGGGATGTCATGCTCGCTCTGTTTGCCGACGACACGGGATTTTTCACGTCGTCGTACTGGAAGACGAGAGCCGCCGCTCAAATGCAGCGGCAACTGGACCTGCTGCCGGAGTGGTTGGACAGGTGGCGCATGGCCGTCAATGTTGACAAAACGGTCGCGCTACTTGTCCGCCGCAGTCGCACAGCACCGCCGCCGCCCTTAAGGCTCCTTAATAAGGAAATCGCGTGGGAGAGCACCGTGCGATACCTAGGGGTCGACATCGACCGGTCGTTGAGAATGGTGCCGCAGGTGACGCGTGCCATAGCGCAGGCTCGCGCGGCGCGCGCCTTTCTCCGACCGGTGCTAACTTCCAGGTTGCCGTTACGGACGCGGGTCTCTATCTATAAGACCTACGTCCGTTCACGGTTAACATATGCCGCACCCGCTTGGTATGCACTGTGCTCTCCGACGCTTAGGCGCCGGCTGCAGGCCCAGCAGAACATCGCTCTCCGTTTGTGCACGGGAGCGGGCAGATACGTCCGTAACGACGTTATCGCCCGCGGCTTAGGGGTCCCAACGGTGGAGGAGATGCAGCCGGGGTAAAGGGGTTTACCCCGAGACCCCTACCTCACCCGCCTACACTACTAAAGGCGGGCAAGAAGACCCTGATTGATTGATTGAATTATTAATAAATTAGTTTGTCTATGTCATTGTCTCTGCGTGCGGTCGTTTTTAACTTATAATCGGCGCAACGGACGCCACGCCCTAGTCTGCACCTAGATGCGATCGACACCATACGTTTATTTATTAACTGTGATTAACGAAAATAAAATTTAATTGCAAAAGTCTTCGTTTTCTTGCCATCACCGTGACCTACCATATTCCATACCATACACAGACTATTGGATTAAATATTATAATTAATTATTAATGGTGGTTATTTTATTAATTATAATTATTAATAAAATAACCACCATTCTCAAGTACGATAAAAAAAAAACATGCTTGTATAAAGACAATGTTATACGATAGTATAACCCTACCAAATTTAGATACAATTTACTTGCATACTTTCTACGTTAACTGTGTTGAATATATAAATGTAATAGAAATGTAAAATTTGTCATTGGTAATAATTGACATATCAATCATTATAATTCTGTTCTTAGCTACGGGTTCAAAATTTTAAATAAATATTCGATAAAAATATATTTTAAGTATTACAACACTACGGTAAATGTCAAATTCATTTTAAATGTCAAAAAAGTATATATAACCTCAAAACTGAAACTAACCCGAATTCGGACTCGGTTGAAACTTGGAATAATATTTTTTATCGTTTAAGAGATATAAATTCAAAGTTACAAATAACATATTTACTGCTGTGGCATAATACAAGTTTAATAAATTGGCCTGCGTCGCCGATGAAATCCACTTATTTCTACCTGGACGTCGAGCTGTAAGTTGTATTTAATAATTCGTTCGATTTACTAGGAAAAAATATAGAAATAAGACTAGCCGCGGGCGAATAAACGAACCTGGAAACTTTCACCGGTTTCCGAAGTCTACATTCAGATTACGCGTCCACGGAGCGGAATACGGGCGGCGTACCTAATTATAAACGTGTAAGACTCACGGGTCGCCCCTGGCCCGCAGGGGCGAGGCGGGCGAGGCGGCCGAGAGCAGACTGAGCGCGCGGAGGTTGGTGGAGCGGAGCGCGCAGGCCGTGGCCGGGGAGCGCGGCGCGGCGGCGCCGGTGGACGTGCTGCGCGCCGGCGGCGGCCGCGCGCTGCTGCGCGTGCGCGGCGCCGAGCTGCGCGCCGTGCGCGCGGCGCTTCTGCCGGCGGCGCGCGTCGCTCGCCAGGCCTCGTCCCTGCAGGCGCTGCTGTAGGCTGACCGACCGCTGTGTGTACCGATCCTTTTATCGTTAAGTAGGCGCTCCCAGTGCAGTGTAAAAATTTAACATGTTAACTTGTCCTCCGAAGGTTATGGGCGCATGAGTACGAGTGAGCATTGTAATTTTCTGTTCTTCCACAATTTTGTTGTTGTAGATAAACAAACTCTATCATATATGGTACCGATGTCTATATCTTGAACAATAATTCATGTGCTTATTCGTTTCCAATGTATGCACATCAAAGGTGTTTAGAAATCAAGTAAATTTTTAACAATAAAAAAAAATATTATAATGTTGAGACATATATATATACATTGTACATATGTATTTGTGTGGTATTTGGTAATAAAAAAATAACATATACATTTTTAAAACCATTATATTCATTCTAGTGTATAATAAAGTACTCTACTAGTGTATAAATTATATTTTATGTAAATATGTTAAAATTGTTAATTATTTATTGTTAATTATTTATCTAAGAACTGTTTTGTAGCAAAATGATTAATAAGCACCTGACCCTTATAATTAATCCTATAAAGACATCTGGACAAAGGTCAAATATTATGTCACAGCAGTATTGTAGTACCACTGTATGTAGTAGAATATTCATTGAACAATGAGCAGACTGTGGACATGTGTGATATTGATTATACTCAAATTATTTTAAAGAAATGGCTGTTTTATTCTATATAGATCTGTGGAATCCCAAATTTAGTTTAAATATGTATGATTTATATAGGAATGAGTATACTTAATTTGCATTATACAATATAGATTTATTTTATGAATCTTTAGGTAAAGTTATATATACTTATGTGTTTTGTTTTCATTTCCAGCAAAAATGTCATCCCAGACGGTATTGAAGTCGGGCCCAGAAGGAAAAGACATAATCATTGTGGCAAACCGTGAGGAGCTGGCAACTCCCAGCAAGGTGGTGCTGCCGGAGCCGGAGCCGGCGCCCGGCCTCATCCTGGCCGACGGCTCCATCAACTGGGGCTGCCCGTGCCTCGGGGGCATGGCCACTGGACCCTGCGGGACACAGTTCCGAGACGCCTTCTCCTGTTTCCATTACAGGTGAATTGTTTTGTCTTCATCATACTTCATCATGTATTTTATTATTCATGTCAGTCTATTTGGAGTCATCTTTGAAAATAGATTTGATTACTGATAAGAGTTGTAATTAATTACATGGTCAGTATGACAAAATTATTATGGTATTTTGCCATTTGGATATGGAGCAGATCATTACAAAATGTAACATTCCTTTCATTCAGTGATTATGATTTACTGAACAATATAATTCATTTCAAGGAACTTTTGTGCCTCACATATTTTATTCACATTTGTATATAGCGAAACATTTTGATACATTACACTAGTGGATTATGGCTAACTGTTCATACATTTAGAGGTAACCACAGCATGCTTTGTGTTTAGAAAATATTAAAATAGAATTAAATTATTAAACAATTAAATGGCATTAAATTAATAAAAATAATAATTTACATTCACCAGATGACACCCAACAATTAAAATTGCTCAAATTAAATTAAAAATAAAAACACAACAACACAAAAACAAAACATAATTTTAATAATTATTATAGTTAATTATTATTACCAACATCATATCAACTGGTAACTGTTCACTGCTGCACTAACGGCCCTCCCCATACACTAGTTTTATATCATTTGAAACAGGAATGATCCTGAGCCACCTGCATCCACTGACTCCCTGCAATGCATTTGAGGTTAACACTATCATAGGGGGTCATCCTGCACTACGGTTGTCTGTATGTGGTCACCACTCAAGAACCTTTGTTCCTCATTATATTAATCCATATCATCTGTTTTTTTAGCTATGTGACCAGTACATTGCCACTTCAGCTTGCTGATTCTTTACGCTGTGTCGGTCACTTTTTTGATCACACAAACAAACTCCAAGCATAGTCCCCGCTATATTTTGTTAACTTATGGCCAACCATGTTTCGGTTCTATAGGTCATTATTGTAATACACACTGGTTATAGACCTTCGTCTTCAAACCAAGATATTTTGGATGAGATATATAGATGAGATAGTTTTCCCAATGTTGTCCAGCCAAATTGGATTCGTCATTTGACTTCTCAGTCGAAATTGTAATTATTATAGATGGTTACTTAAGACACCTAGGTGTTCCCATTTTCAGCAAACCGTAATTGATTTCTGTATATTATATATTCAGCCTTATAATCTTTTATTCATAAAAATTAAATTCTGTAAATTTAAACTTTATTTTTAAAACTTATGTTAATTTTTTTGTGTATATAGACATCTATTTTAACTATTGGAGTGTTTTATCATTCTCTTTGTAATTGGGCATGAGCAAAAAATAAGACAAAACAATATTTTAGATATTGTTTTGTTTTTTTTTTTTATGAAAGGTTTATGTGACATTTGGCGTTTTTATGAATAAGAGGGTTATTTTTTTTTAGGCGCAATGCAGATAATTGTGGAATGTGTATACAAAATGTCAAGTGATATGATCACTGTAACTATTGTGTGTATTTATTATCTATTTATTGTTATTGCAGCGAGGCGGACCCGAAAGGTAGCGACTGCTACGAGAAATTCAGTGTAATGCAAGATTGCATGGCGCAGTACCCGGAGCTGTACGGCAAGGACGACGACGACGAGCTCGCCTCCGCGCTCGAGTCCGCGCAGCCCGAGCCCGCGCCCGCCGCCCACAAGTAGCCGCCACGCTCGCCACGCTCATCACGCTCATCACGTTCGCCACACCTCACTATACTTTCCCATACTTTTCTTCATAGTCTGTTACATCCTACCATTATCTCATAAGTCTAGTGATAAATTTAACAAATATACTGATAATTATTTTTAAATATTCCTAAAATACATTAAATAGGCTTCATTTAATTACAATGTATGAGTATGAATTAGATGGGTATAGTAAGGTACCCTTGAAAGGTAGACATGTGCCATCGCGGTCTTTTTGTAGACCTGTAATAGAGAAACAATCCCACCATACATTGTTTTGTTATATCTCAAAAGGATTAGACAGTATTTTTGATGAAAGCTATTGATTTTTTCTGACATCTTAAACAATTATCGTCATATTTCAATTAATTTACACAAACCAATATCAAACTATATGTATAAACCTTTCTCTTGATTTACTTTGTCTATTGATTAATACTTTATTAAAATCCGTTGTGTAATACAAAAGAAGCGTACAGGCGGCGGGAAGCGATTTTGTTTTATACTATGTAGAGATATAATTATTGTTTTATATATAAACAATAAAATCGACAAACCTGTTTTAACTATTGCAAAATTTATCATTTTCTTTTAAATTTAGAACTTAATAAAAAGAAAAAAACGATACATTTAATATGCTTATTGTGTTTATGAAATAAGGCAGTTAGTGTATAAGTAAGTACCGAAGCGGTCACAAAGATACGGAGCGCTGGTCAGTCAGTCAGCAGCAGCACTGCGCGTGCAGCGTGCAACGTGCAACGCGTGCGATTACTAATAATATGTGGCAGTGGACTCCTGCAGGCAGTTTGTTTACAATAATATCTTTATATATTTAGTGTATAAATAAAAATTAGTTGAATTGATTGCAGTGTTATTTATATAACCGTGTTGTCTACCTTGTTTATAATAATACGAGTTTGCTAAACTAGTATCTGGTTACATTCTCTGTGACGTATTTGAGGGATAATTCATATTAATTTAATATGTTTACTCTCGATTTAGTCCGTATGACCTGCATAGGCCGGTACAAAATATCCCGGCCTATGTCTTTCTCCAGCGCCTGTAGTACGTGTATACCAAATTTCATAGTGATCGGTTAAGCCGTTTAGGTGCTTGAGATTCTATGAGGTAATAAATAAATAACATATATATTATATTAGTAAGGATACACAGTTAACTAAATATTTGTTATAAATACATTATTACACTGACAAGCTTTATTATTTTTACCACTTCTAATTTTGTGTCAAATACAGGAAATTATCATATCACCCTTTAACTATCGACTGCTGAACATAAGACTCCCCCGTGGGGGAATTTGCTGGTAATTGCCATGTTTGGCAAGCGAATTGGCAATCGTAGTTAGGCTTTGGAGATGTTTTAAGAGGTAAACTGCTGCCAGCCTTCGCCCTCCCTTAGTCGCCTCTTACGACACCCAAGGGAAAGGAAGGGATAACCTATTCTATGCCAGGAGCACACAGCTAATATAGAAAATAGGGGAGAAAGGGATTGTTAGTAATGGAGACTGAGAATCCCATTGCTAGCAATATACCCAACTAGGTCGACCTCCTCGCGGTTCTCCCTGGAAACTATCATGGTTAATTCCTGATGAATTCATTATGATGGGCTAACTGGCCTGTTTTCATTTTCACCTATCACCCTTCACTGGTGCTCCGCCAGCGTATCCCGTTAACGCAGGCGGGGTTACCATACCATTTTCACCCATAAAAAAAAAAAAAAAAATATATATATATATATAGAAAATATAATTACTTTATACCTTATAGATAAATGTTACGAAAAATAATGTAATACTGTACTGCGTCGTTCAAATGTCTTATAATTGTAATGAATTATTTATAATCAGTTACAACGCCATCTGCTGATTTCAATCTAAAAAATATATTGTGTTGAATCGCTCACCATCATTTATTAGCATAGCGGGACAAATAAATGTAATACTATATCAAGCTTATGCCACTAGATGGCACACCCAGTCCATTTGTCGGTAGGAAATTTATACAAAAAATACATACAAAATTATAATAAAAAGTTGTCAAGTGTGAGTTGAGTTCGTAGATCTCTGAGGTGACGCCCTGTGAAAAATATCTTCGAGTATTATCTCTCAAGTTAACTTTGCCTACTTTTGGATATTAATATGTATGTGGCTGTTAGAGATTATTTTAATTAATCATTGTGACAAATGGGTGGTTATTTAATCATTTTAAAGTATCTACTGATACCTGGGCATTGGGTCGTGTTAAGGCGAATCGCCGACTTTGACTCCCGGTTTTCATAAAATATATTAAAAAAAAAAGTTAAAAGTTAAACTGAAAAAAAAATAGGAAATTTTATGTAAAAAAAAATGGTAAATAAAATATAACACAGTAGAGGTATTTTATATGTATGTACGTATATGTAAATCAACACGTGACAAAGTATAATGCTGCGGTTTTTTTGCCGATAAACTTTATTATATATATATAACTAGTCTGCCCGTAAATACTGTTACATAAATACTTTTTTTTTCAACTATTTAATTATTTTGAATTTGGAACACATTTATTATTTTTAAAGCTTTCGATTTCGTCCCATTTCACTTATTATTGCTGTTCATTATCAAATCACAATATGGAATGAGGTATTAAAGAAAATAGGATTACAATGATCGTCTTGCACAAAGTGGGTATGGAGCCGTCGGTCTTATTCCAGACACTTTAAAAGCTTGGTATCAGCTGTATGTACGTATATTGTACTATCAACGGATACAACAACACTTCCTCTGTCGAAGACCAGAAAAGATCGGTCGGGGCGGCCGCGTACTGTTATGGCTGGACTGAGTATATATACGAGTATGGTATATATCGAGTATGCAACAGCAACGGAGGAATAGCAGGTCTGCGGCTTACGTTTAAAAAACAAAAGGAATATGCTCTCGTCTTGAAGGTATATATATATATATATATATATATATATATATATATATATATATATATATATATATATATCATGCAAAAAGTAAATTTATTTTAGTCGTGTGGTCCCGGCATAGAATGAGCCACCCCTTCCTTTCCTGTGGGTGTCGTAAGAGGAGGCTAAGGTAATTTAATAGTCGAGGAATGGGCAGTAGCGTCTCTCTTAAAACACCACCAAAGCCTAATTGCGGTTGCTAGCCCGCTTGTCAAACGTGGCAACTACTGCTCTCTAATAGGAGGCGGCCTATGTTCAGCAGTGAACGATTAACGGCTGATATGATGATGATGATGATAATAATTTAATAACATAGTTATATTAAAGTTAAAATAAATAATATTCGTGTGTTCATAGTTTTGTCTAGGGGGGAATCATATTCGGCGACAGGGAGCTAACAGAGGAAAGTCTATCAAATAAATTATTATAAAATTTACTAACTGAATTTTTTTTTCTTTTTTTTTATACAACTTAGAATGGCAAACAAGCTGACGGCCCACCTGATGGAAAGTGGTAATCGTCGCCTATAGACATGAGCAGTACCATGGACATAACAGAGCATACTGTTTCGCCCATGATACCCCCCATGCGTTGCCATTCCTGAGGACTCAGGTGTTATTCCTCTGTACCCAGTAAATTCACGCCATATCCCACCCTTCAAACCGAAACACAGCCATGCAAACACAACTGCTTCACGGTTGAAACACGAATGGGATAGACATACCTTGTGTTTATTAAGTTATGTTATTAAAATAAAGAAGTGCCAACAAAAACCTATAGAATCAACAATATGTTATTATTCATCAGCTGCAGGACGACAATGCTGGTAAGTGCCTAGTAATGAGCGACTGTCTTTTCGTCTTCTGGCATGTTACTCCGGTGGGTTTTTTTAATGCATGGTAATGGAATGTTAATCCCGCCCGCGCTATCGATATACGCTAGCGGGGCACGTGTGAGGGGTAATATGTGAGGATGAAAACGAGTCAGTCGGCCCATCGGCACGAATACATCAACAATCCTTGGTCGGATTTAAATTATTGAGGAAAAGTCCCTTTGTGCCCCTACCTTTCTCAAAACACAACCCGCCTCAACCAGAGAGAATATGATATTATACTAGTGGCACAACTAATAACACAGCGCCACCGACTCTGAGGTGCCATTTCTTTAAACGTATCTCTTAAACTTTAATTTGATAATGTTGTAAAATTACTATTTTACAGACCATCATAAAAAAAATTATCATAATTTTGACTTAAATCTATTAAAAAAAATCTCGTATTGAGCCTTACAGTAAAGATTCTGCTGTGGTGACAAATTGGAATTTTAATTTTACAGATAGGTTTAGGAAAATAGCGCTACAGAATTGAGCGCAGTATACATAATAATAATGATAGTATATTAAGCAAACATTGTTACACTTACAAAGAACGTTCATACAAAGTGACATAACATAGGTGATGCTTGTCAAAATGCTTACTGTTGTGTTGCTCCGCGTTTCGGGTAGAACTTAAAGTCCGGCCGCTCAGAGATTCCGTTTCTGACACCTGTCAATTCGTCATGACTAGTGATGTACCATAGATAATATTAACAATATAGTAATGTTATTTATTGCATTCATTATACATATTTATTCAATTTAATATATATTTTGTTATTTGTTTTTATAGGAATTATATTTCAAACAATAAAATTGTTGATGAATGAATTAAATTGAATCGTAATTTCTGAATGTAACGAAGGAAAAGAAAATAAAAATGCTGTTTTTATTGGAAAATGTACATATGGAATACATAGTTTTAAACGCTTAATAATGAAGACTACGTCGCATTAAATTTATTCCGACTCCAATTCGCTTGAGGACTCGCTGTCATCTTCACTAACATGTGTTATTATATGATTGTCAATCATAGTATCTATACGGGTATCGCGGTCAAAGTCATCAAATATAATCTTATTAGTTTTTTCAACCACCTTCATCCAGTCATCTCTTGTGACGTTTTCACATGCTTCTTTTAAAAGCGTCTTCACCTTTTTTACCTATATGTGCAAAGATTACACTAATATGTATCTTGCTAATGTAGGGTACGTCTCGCCACGTAGGCAAAGTTTGCCAAGTTGCAAATAACTTGAAACTTGCCTCGAGTCGAGCCGTGGCTCGGGTGACCTGAGAGAGGGCGGCGCGGCCCCGGGCTTCAGTGAACACCCGACGTTGCCGATGTGGTGCTTAGTTACACTAAAAATACTTTACCGTAGTTACAGATACGTGGACGCATTACTCCACGCTGCAGGCAAGCACTACCTACTAGTACTAGTATCACTGCGCCCTATATTTCTTATTCTACTAGGGATTTTTATTTCACTGCAATTTGGCAGTCATCTGAGATGTTTATTTTAGTAGGTGATATTAGAATGGTAACTCCACCTGCGCTATTGGTATACGCTGGCGGAGCACCAGTGAGGGATGATAGGTGACGATGAAAGCAGGCCAATTGCTCACCGTGACGAATTCCACTAGAATTAACCATGATGGTTTCCAGTGGAACCACGTGGAGGTCGACCTGGCAATGAGTCAATTAGACCCCACTACTAACAATCCCGTACCCTCCCCCAACTGGGATGTTATACATTTATAGGGTGTTCGGAAAAGAGAAGACGAGTGGTAAACGAATCAATCGATAGATATATTTTCGCTGCCGCGTGCATAAATGGAATGGGACAGACAGCAGCGTTTTGCGAGTTGAGCTTTTTCTTGCGTAAATGCATAAATCTCCTGACAGATTCATTTCAGCGATTGCTATTTGTTATATTACGTGTCGACGGTTGTTTATAAAGGTGTAGTCGTATACTATACATTCATCTAGGTAGTTATTGGATCGATATCTTGTAAATTAGA